ATTATTGGATTTTAAAAATCTCTAAAAAAAAAACAAGGATCTGACCAGATGTGGCAGCAATATTCAATGCATAGACGAATGGTGGGCTTCTTTTCTTTTCTTTTTTTTTTTTTTTTTTGACAATCAGGCCCTCTTGACTGTCCCATTTCTATTCTAGTACGGGACATAAATTCATAAAGTCTTGATATCATAGAGAAATCAAATTTCAAAACAAATTTACGAGCCACATAAATTTTTTTGACCTTTAATATGCGGCTCCTGAGATTATGGTAGCTAAGTAAAATATAAAACTATATTGTGGAAATTTGAATTTGTTTTCATGTCAACATTTAAACACTAATTCGTTCCTCTGATTCAATAGTTCATATTCATCATTGTATTTTATTATTTTAATTTTTTTCTTCCAAGCATAAATCACACCTATCACTAACACTATTCGGAATTTATATGAGTTCGACAAGAAACCTAGTATCGAACCATCCTGTAGTTGTAGATCAAAAGACAATTGTCCAGTAGAGGGCAAATGCAAAGCTATAAGAGTTATATCACAAGCGACCATTTTCTCAAAAAAATATATGTTGTAAAAAGTTTACATTGGAGTTTCCGCGGGGGAATGGAAGCAAAGATTTCATACCCATAAGCACTCATTTCTAACCTTACATCTTAAACACCAAACAGCTCTTTCAAAATTTTGGGAAATTGAAGGACGAAAATTTAAACCCACAGATAGTTTGGAAACTTATAGGTTCTGAAAAAATTCTGAATAGTTTTAGAGATATGCTAGATATAGCTCTGGGGAGTTAGGTCGCCAGATGTGGTCGCAGAAATTGTCAGACAGCCATGACTGGATACTCTGGCTTGGGTGATATGGTGCAGAGTCCTGTTGTCAGACATAGGTTTTTCCTGCAGCCACCCTCTTGACCCAAAGCAGTACTACCTCCTCAAGGTATTTGATGTAGGCCTGCGTGTTGAATCTGAGCCCCTTACCAAATAATTCGGGAGTTCTTTTCTTATCAGAATGATCAGAGTCAGTTTTCCGAGCTACTGTACTTTTGTAATCACCATTAGATTCATCCAACTCTTTCCTCAGATTGACAATTACCATGAAAGTATTTATAGAAAAGGCAACCTTACGGCGATGGGAAAGTGACTGAAGCCGAGCCACCAGATCAGGACCAATAATGTTGCTGATTCTTCTTTGGATTTTATGAAGGATCTCTAGAGAAATAACAGGAGAACCGGACCATATGTGGCAGCAATATTGTAAGCATGGAAGAATGGTAGACTTATATATATGTAAGATAGATTCTATACATAGGGTAACCAAAAAAAAACGGGAATTTTTGAAGTGCATATTGCAAGTGGCAACACTGCGAGACGGTAACTTTGAGCAAGTAAACATTTCGCCATTTAGAATTCAAGATGAAATTCACAGTATCCCAGCAGAGATGTTGCAGCCGTCAATGAGAAATCTCAACAGATTTCATGAATGCATTCGTACAGGAGGACGCCATCTACAGGACATAATTTTAAAAAAATGAAAATTCCATCATTGTTTCTTAAATGGCATGTTTTAAGGTTTCAATTACTATGAATAAAATATTTTTCTTTCATCACTCTTGGTTTTATTGGATTGTTAAAAAGTTCCCGTTTTTTTGGGGGGTCACCCTGTATAAATATACAGGGAAATTGAAAAGTAACTCCCTGTTTTATGTATGAGTGACCAACCATTGACGCGATTAAATATTAATTTGAGAAGCTGGTAGCGAAATCTGATGATCATATCTAATTTTTAAATATAACCTCATGAAAAACGCTTTCCTCTCACAGTCATCTCTTGTAAAAATTATAGTTAATAAATAAATTATAAGTATATTAAAATGGGGAGTTACTTTTTAAATCACACTGTAATATTGGAACATATTGTTTAACAGTATCCTCTCGTTATCACAAACTTTTGATTAGCATGATGGATTAGTTGTCTCAGTGAAACATCTTTCCTTAGCAACAATTGTATTTCATCTCTGTAAATTCAAACATGAGTTCGCTCAATTTTGGAAGTTATTGAACTCGAGGCTCAATCCAGCACAGATGTGATGACTCATCGGTGAGAAGACAATGGACGCTGTTCCTGGAGATCACGGAGGATGGGGGTGATCAGCGTAGTGAGAGAAGAGGAATTTAGAAGACGCCCATGTTACTCTGGCCGTTAGTGATATAAAGCGACAAGCCGAATCAAGATTCCGAGATAGAATCGTGAAAAATGTCTGGAATATTTTGATGAGAAAACGAAGAGGAATAATTAAACCCTGTTCGTCGTGGTGGGTAGTTTTACAGGTGCTGGTCGTTAAAAGTTGTCAGAGTCAAAATCTTGTAAAACAAAGCCAAAAAAAAAAAGAGAATGACTTTCTCCACACGAGTAGTTATCTCCCCTTTGCCGACACTAAAAAAAGTCACAAACAGGCTGTAAGTATTCAAGTAACCTATGGTGAGCACTATTACTTGGTATCTATCCTTCTTAGCCTCCTTAGACTCTGCTCTTCGACATAGCCTCGTCTGGGAATCCTCTCTGTCCGGAGGCAGAGAGTTTGACCAGCACAGCTGGGGACGAATCTCCAACCGCAGACCAACATACAGTATTTACTACTGTTTTTATATGAATGGGAACATACCCATTATTGCCCGGATGTATGCTACAACAGGGAAGGAGAGGTTTAGCTTTGATTTTGTTTGAAGCCTTTTTTTTTAAGTGATGGGAGAAAAGAAAAGGAATACAGATGAATTTGGCTAGATTGAAAAAAATATTCTTTCAAAAAAAATTTCTTTCCAAAAAACTTTCTTTCCAAAAAATATTCTTTAAAAAATTTTGAAACTACCAGCGTCTCTCTTTTTCTGCGCATGTGTAGACGTAACAACATCAACAAAGCCTAGTCCCATGAAATCTTAACGGATGAAACGGGTCGCAAAAACTTTTTTTTCCAATTTGTATTTGTCATACTATTTTTCGAAATACTGCTGATATACAAAATTATATATCGTTCATATATATATATATATATATATATATATATATATATATATGGCCTGACGTGCTTTAACGATTGAGCCACAGAGGAGCGTGTTTCGGAAAGCAAGGTCGATTTTACTGTTTTTAAACTACAATTCTCCATGATGTTCTCTCATATCTGCTCGCCATTTGTTTACATTTGGATACGCATCGAGCTGATATGAATGTACGAAAAAAATCATGGAGAAATTTTTTGCAACACACACACATATATATATATATATATATATATGTGTGTGTGTGTGTGTGTGTGTGTGTGTGTGTGTGTGTGTGTGTATCAATGTTAAATAGCAGAGCTATTTAATATATATTAAGAATTACGCATAATACCTTACAATATATATATATATATATATATATATATATATATATATATATATATATATATATTTTTTATTTTTCTCAATGATGACTATAATATAAAATCTTGCTGATGCTCTAAGGTATTTACAGGAGAGTGGTTTTCCTGTGCCTTCATGGATATAATGTCCAGGGTTCGTGACGTAGTTATGGGAGAGGAGTTAACCTTCTTCTTAACTCAAAAATCGTGCCATCAAGTGACCAGTATATTGCATCCCATAATCAACAGCGTGTTCCTATTTGTTTAGTATTATGTCCTAGATTTTCTCTCACCAATGCAGATCTCTTTCAATGTCTTTTGTATGATTACAGAATGCAATGGGTAAATTGCCGCCATTTTATATTTTTAATTTCGCGCATGCGCGTTGTTTGTTTTTGATTTTGGCAACTACACAGTAAAGTAGATTCAGTTGGGTACTGCCTAAAAGTCTAAAAAGAGCATCATGACGCAATTCACTCTGCCAGAAATTTAGAAACGGCATGCTGTACTGCTTGGCATCCGTGCCGGAAGCTTTAAGATGAACATTTCAGAATGTTTGGTTGTCAATTTGAGAAGAGTGCAGAGGATTTGCAAAGAGTTGGATGAGTCTAATAAGTTTTAATAATGAATTTTAATAACTAATATTACTAGGATCCACCTGGATTGTATACCAACAGATCGATTACCTGTATATATATATATATATATATATATATATATATATATATATATATAAAGGGAAGAGGTTGTAGTAGTTCCAACGAGAGAAAAGTGTGTCTAATAAAAAGAAGAGAGAAACCGCAAATGTTTTTGGTTGTAATGTGAATTTTTTTTTTTTTTTTTTAAAGAATTTTATGCTTTATTTTCCATAATTTTGCTACACGGGTTTCCGGTCTTGCGACCATCATCAGTCAAAGAGTAGCTATTTCCACATATTAAAATTAATTAATTTTTCTTATGTTTTTCGATGTTAAATATTCTCGATATTAGACATTCTCCTTTTTGTGTTAGTGACCCAAATGTCTTCCTTGAATAGCTCTTATTTTTGTCAAGGATGACTATTAATTTAACATTTTTCTGATACTCTAAGGTATATACGGGAGAGTGGTTTTCCTGTAGCTTTATTCACCAATGTGTATAATGACCAGGGTTGGTGACGTAGTTATGGGAGAGGAGTTAACAACAAAAGCTATCAAGTGCCCTGTATATTGATATCAAGCGAGTTGATTCATGCCTTATCTGAATTTGAAAGCTCTGCCATATGCACTGTGAACAGAATTTCGCTATTAGCTGTGAAATTGTTATGCCTTTGATATCTTCAAAATAGGCGATCTTCTCATTCGAGCCTATTTGCAGACGTCAGTCCTCCACTATTTCCCGTGTCCCGCCAGAGACAAGGACCTTCTGCAGGCCACTTCTAGATAATTCCTTGTTAGCGTTGGTACCAACGCTTCTCGACAGTTCCTTAGCATTAAATCTGACGCAGAAACACGTACTTGTGGGGCTGGCAAGCGACCAAGTCCGCCATAGTTTGACCGCAGTTGGCCGACAAACATCATCCGCTGGCGACTGGTCATGCACACATGATTCTTTATGGCACTGGCTTGCACATCCACCACCCACGTCCCACCCGGCCTCTTCATATTTCACTTACACCCTTCAATTTCAAGCTTATTTTGTTTCTTAAAATCGACTTTTCCTTCTCTCTCTCTCTTCTTCTCTCTCTCTCTCTCTCTCTCTCTCTCTCTGTGTTTCTTTCCCTTCTCGCTTATCTCTCTAATTCGATCAGTTCCTGTCTATATCAGTCTATTCCTATCTATCTATCTATCTATCTATCTATCTGAGTCAATTTCTATCTATCTATCTATCTATCTATCTATCTATCTATCTATCTATCTATCTATCTCAGTCCGTTCATATCTATCTGTCTATTCCTATCGATCGATCAATCGATTAATCTATATCAGTATTTTCCTATTTATCTATCGATTGATCTCTCTCAGTCTATTCCTATCTATCTATCTATCTATCTATCTATCTATCTATCTATCTATCTATCTATCTCACTTCTTTCATATATATATATCTATCTGTCTACTCCTATCGATCGATCAATCTATCTATATCAGTCTATATCTATCTATCAATCGATCTATCTCACTCTAGTCCTTTCTATCTATCTCAGTCCATTCATATCTATCTATCTATTCCTATCGATCGATCGATTGATTAATCTATATCAGTATTTTACTATCTATCTATGATTGATCTCTCTCAGCCTATTCCTATCTATCTATCTATCTATCTATCTATCTATCTATCTATCTATCTCACGTCTTTCATATATATATATATATATATATATATCTGTCTATTCTTATCGATCGATCGATCAATCTATCTATATCTGTCTATGCCTATCTAACTATCAATCGATCTATCTCACCCTATTCCTTTCTATCTATCTATCTCTCTAACGATCTATCTATCTATCTATTTCACTTCTTTTATATATATATATATATATATGTCTATTCTTATCGATCGATCGATCAATCTATCTATATCAGTCTATGCCTATCTAACTATCAATCGATCTATCTCACCCTATTCCTTTCTTTCTATCTATCTATCTATCTATCTATCTATCTCAGTCCGTTCATATCTATCTGTCTATTCCTATCGATCGATCGATCTATCGATTGATCAGTCTATGTTTCAGTATCTATCGACTGATCAGTCTATGTTTCAGTATCTATCGACTGATCTATCTATTTACTTTGAGCGTCATTAAAAATGCGACTCAATTGCAAAAAAGATAAAAGTTCAAATTTTAAAAATTAAAAATTCCATCTTTAAGATGAATAAGTAAATATCAGGATCTATATGACTTATTTTCAGTTGCCTTTAATGTTAAAATCAATAATCAAAAATCTCAATATCGATCGTCGTCGGTTTTATCTTGTATTCAACATTTTAATTTCTTCTTTGCTGATCGCTTCCCTTAATCTGATGGCGTTGATAACTAAGAAAACCAATTTTTGTATGGAAGAATTGATTGCATTGACTGGACGAGGTTGATTTTGTCAAGTTTTTCTCTCTTATCGTCTGATTTTTTTTGTCTTCTGCTGGCTTCGAAGATTTTGGTTCCAATGGTGATTGAACACCGCCAGTTAATATGGTCTCGAGCTTGTCTTGCAAACGCTTTAAACTCAAGCCCACTGCCTTTTAGAGTTTCTGTTTGATTTTGTCCTTGTATCTTCGAAGAGGACAACCACCTGGGCTTTTCCCTGAAGTGAGTTAACTGAATAAGACTTGACATGGGAACCTTGACTCTTCCATTCTTGCCAAATGTCCTGATCATCAAAGACGGTGTTTCATGATCAGTGATTCGATGATTTAAGTGTAAATTCTTTCCAAGAATTTTGGTGGTCACATAGTCTTCTAGTGTTCAAGTTTGAACGAAGATTTTTCTAGTGAAAACGTACAAATATTTGGATGTCGCGACGATATAGAGTCCCCGTTTCGCAAGCATATAGCAAAATTCAAAATGACAACAGCGGTATAGACTGTCATTTTTGTTATGAAGTTCGGATATTTGTTGCTGAAAAATCGTTTGATTACCTTTCCACATATCGATAATTCATACAAAAATGCAAATTGATATGACATTATACAATCAAAAACGAACTTGTTGATGAAAACGTAACGCTCCTGATGACGTTTATTTAATTATTTCTCCCGAAACAAAGATATTAAAGCAAATAAGACGTAGGATATTACTAAAAGTGAAAGAATCTAAAAAAAAGTCATTAAGTGAATGGGGGGCAATAAAATAATAGAATTAAAGGAAGAATGATTGAATTGACTGCATGATAATGCTGGAGAACGAGATTAATTTTGTCGAACCTTTTTCGCTTATCGTCTGATTTCTTCCTTTTGGGAATAAACTGAATAAGACTTGACGTGGAAACCTTGACTCTTCCATTTTTGCTACAAGTCCTGACCATCGAAGACGGCATTTCAGGATCAGTGATTCGATGATTTGACTGTTGGCATTTTCTTTGTTCTTGGTCATATAGTCTTCGAATGTTCAAGTTTGAACGAAGGTTTTTTTCTGGTGAAAGCGTTCTAATATTTGGATGTCGCGACGATATAGAGTCCCGGTTTCGCAAATATATAGCAAAGTTGAAATGACAACAGCGTTATAGACTTTTTTGCTATTAAGTTCAGATATGTGTTGTTGAAAAATCGTTTGATTACCTTTCCACATATCGATAATTTATACAAAAATGCAAATTGATATGACACCTATCATTATACAATCAAAAACAAACTAGTTGATCAAAACAACGCTCCTGAAGACGTTTATTTAATTATTTCTCCCGAAACAAAGATATTAAAGCAAGTAAGGTGCAAGGGATTAGTGAGAGTGAAAGAAATATAAAAAAAAAGTCCTCATCAAGTGAAGGTGGGGGACAATAAAATAACAGAATTCAAAGAGACAGAATATGACGATTGACGTTACATTTCAATTTTTGAAGATCGAAGTTGATAGGAAAGCAAACGCCCGGAAGAGAGTTCCACGAGAGATAAGAGCCGGAGAAGAAACTACCAGAATAGAACTTACGGTTGCACCTAGCAATTTCAACAGTGGAATGATGAGACCTAGCTGCCAATCTAGTACTGCGCTTACATTCTTGAAGCAGAGGTACCAATGAGGAAAGGATATCAGAACATTTATCAGGAAAATATTTAGGGAAAAGACACGAAGAATTTACGGACTAAACTGTGGAAATATTTTAACGAGCAATTAATGATTCTATGAATTTATATAAATAAAAAGGTCACATGGCCCAGTGGATAAAGGCGTTAGTTAGATCTAATAGCAGGAGCCAAAGAGTGTGAGTTCAATACCCGGTTAAGTCAGTGGAGAACTTGGAGAGGGGAATTAACAGGGGATAACTGATAAGTGACATCCATTAATCATGGCACGTAGAACTAGAACAGTCTACCCCAGGTTCAGTTCGATATTCCAACCACCTGAAGAAGGCCGGAGCGTACAACGGCCGAAACTCTTGCTCCCTCACTCACTCTTCCTCTCTTTTATTTCTGTTGGCTTTCTTCTTTGATACTCGCAATTATTCTCTCTGCCTATCTCAAAATCTTATGTCACTTTATCTCTCTCTCTCTCTCTCTCTCTCTCTCTCTTTCACCTACTTTTATCTCTCCCCTCTCTTTCTCTGTCTCTCTTCCTTCCGCTCTTGTCTTTCCACTTTAGGTTACTCGCAATTATTCTCTCTCTCTTTCTCTATCTTAACATCTTACGTCGCTTTCTCTCTCTCTCTCTCTCTCTCTCTCTCTCTCTCTCTCTCTACGTTTTTCTCTTGCTCCCCCACTCACTTTCTCATTCTCTTTCTGTTGCCTTTCTTTTTTATGTTACTTGCAATTATTCTCGTTATCTAAAGATCTTACGTCGGTTTCTCTCTCTCTTTCTCATACTTTACTTTATTTCCTTCTTTCTCCTTCTCCCTTCCTCTCTTACTCCCTCACTCTCTCTTTCTCTCTCTTTCTGTCTCTCTCTCTTTCTGTCTCTCTCTCTTTCTCTTGCCTTTCTTCTTTGTTACTCGCAATTATTCTCTTCTTCTGTATCTCAAAATTCTACGTCGCTTTCTATCTCTTTCTCGTAATTTTCTCTCTCCCTCTCTCTATCCTCCTCCCTCTCTTGCTCCCTCACTCTCTCTTACTTTTCCTTTATTAGGTTACTCGCGATTATTCTCTCTCTCTCTTCCTTCCTCTCTTCTCCTTTATCTCTCTGTCTCTCTTTCTGTTCACTTTCATTTTTTGCTACTCGCAATTATTCCATCTATTTTTGCTTCTCTCTCTCTCTCTCTCTCTCTCTTACTATCTCTGTCTCTCTCTCTCTTACTTTCTCTCTTTCTCTCTCTCCCTTACTGTACGGCCCTTCTTCCACTCACTCTTTCTTTCTCTCTCTCTCTTTGTTTCCTTTACAATAATGTAAATAATGCAAGTGATCATAATACCTCATCTCAGAGATATAAACAGAAACATATATATATATATATATATATATTCGCCTGATGATGGCCATGTTAAACCGAAACTAGTCGAGGAATCTAAATGAAATAATAATAAAAAACGAAAGAATATTAATATACAACCCAGTGTGTCTGAAGATTTTAATTTTTTATTATTTTTATTGTTCCAAATATATATATATATGTATGTGTGTGTGTGTGTGTGTGTGTGTGTGTGTGTGTGTGAAAAATATATAGAAAATAGGAAAGAACTCGTTAGGTAAATAATCCAAAGTTCTTTAGTATTTATGTTATTATTTTTAAAAAAATAGTGCTCCATACAAAAGTAGAATATAAATATAATTATTTATTTAAAAATATGATTCCTACACGCGTGTTGGAATCATATTTTTAAATAAATAATTATATATATATATATATATATATATATATATATTTATTTTTAATAAATAATTATATATATATATATATATATATATATATATTATTTGTAAAATGAATTTGCTAGATTTAAATAAAAGAAAATTAAAATTCCCAGCATCCCTCGTTCGTGCGCATGTGTAGTTGCTCCAACATGACAAATTTAGACCGATGATGCCTTAAGGGCACGTAACGCTTCACAAGAAAACTTTTTCCACTTTGTCATACATATTTCCCCAATATATTTTTAAGTAAAGAACAAATATTTACATAAATTAATAAAATTATGAATCCGTTTATCTTTAATGTTAGCTTAATGATTATGAGCTTGAAATCTTTGTGCAAGTCCTTCAGAAAAAAGACATACATTTTTTTAAAATCCTACTGTAGAATTTTTAAACCATCCTCAGACCGTGACACTTGTCGATATCGAAAAATATAGATTTGCTACTATTTTACAAGGAGGTCCAGTTTTTAATATCAATATCATGTCAAATCGATCCCCGATTCTTACAGACGTACGAAAACAGGCATTTCTAGATGTGGGTTTACGAAAAGATTTCTCTTAAATGACGATATATAATTTTTAAAGTAAAGAACAATCTATTTATCTTATTCTCTTCATAGCTAGCTAGATATCTTTCTCGGTCTGTTTTTATTATCTATATCAGATTATTATCTATTTCTATGATTATTCAGATTATCTATCTATCTATCTATCTATCTCAGTTATGTTCTATATGTTCATATCTATCTTAGCAATCTAGCTGCTATCTGTTCATATATCATAAATAGTTATCTTACTAGCTATCTATATCAGTCTGTATCATATCTATCTATCTTATCTAGCTAGCTGTATATCTATCTGTTCTCTATCTATCTCTATTCATATATCTATCTATCAGTCTATTCATATCTATCTATCTCAGTGTGTTCATATATTTATCTATCTTACTCAGTGTTCATATCTATCTCAGTCTGTTATCTATCTATCTATCTATCTCTGAGTCATATCTATCTTTACATATCATCTATCTATCTATCTATCTTTATATATATATCATCTATCTGTTCTATATCTATCTATCTATCTATCTATCTATCTCAGTCTATTCATCTATCTATCTCAGTGTGTTCATATCTATCTATCTATCTATCTATCTATCTATCTATCTATCTATCTGTCATTGTCTGATCTGTCTGTCTATCTATCTATCTATCTATCTATCTAACTCCAGTCTGTTCATATCTATCTATTCTATCTATCTATCTATCTATCATCTATCTATGTTCTATCTATCTATCTATCTATCTATATCTATATCTAAGTCTGTTCATATCTATCTATCTATCTATCTATCTATCTATCTATCTATCTATCATATCTATCTAACCCAGTCTGTTCATATCTATCTATCTATCTATCTATCTATCTATCTATCTATCTATCTATCTATCTATCTATCTAAGTCTGTTCATATCTATCTCAATCTAGCAACGTAATAAATGAAATTAAAACGGATACGTTGTCATAGTCGACGGGTTTGTTCGATGGAGCGTGCCAGAGAAACAATCTAACAAATATATCGACCATTTAAATATCAGGTACGCAAACGTCATCACCCACCACGAAGGCAGTCAATAAATAAATACATAAAAATGGCAGAAAAACGTCTATATTTTTTCATCTTTCCGAAAATTAATAAACAAATTTACAAAGAGAGAATATATCACGTATCTCATCTCTGCAAATGGGTTTTAGAAATACTTTTGTATCTTTATTCATATCTAAGATTTTAGAAGTAGACAATATATGTGCCAAGTTATCTAGTATTTGGAGATTTTCACCGCTGATAGGCTGTTATGGATGATGCTATAAATAATATAGGAAAAAACAGGTGATTTAACCAAGGAAATGGAGAAATTTTTTTTTTGATTTTGGAATCAGTTATGTGCCATGTAATCCACACACAGACAGTTTCGCTGTATCACAGCTCTTCAGTGTGGCTAGCCGTTTGATTGCTTCAAAGCGGGATCAAAATCCCACCGATTTGACATCAGTCAGAGATCCTACCACTAGGCTAGGCGATCATGTATCTTTCGATACATGACTGCCGAGGTAGAATTTTTTTCCCCACAGTATGTTCATATCTTACTCAGTCTGTTCATATCTATCTATCTGTCTGAGTCTGAGTCTATAGTCATAGCTTTATATCAGTCTATTCATATCTATCTAGGTAGCTATATCAGTCTGTTCATATCTATCTATCTATCTATCTATCTATCTATCTATCTATCTATCTATCTATCTCAGTCTATTCATATCTTTCTATATCAGTCTATTCATATCTATCTATCTATCTCAGTCTATTCATATCTTTCTATATCAGTCTATTCATATCTATCTATCTATCTATCTCAGTCTATTCATATCTTTCTATATCAGTCTATTCATATCTATCTATCTATCTATCTATCTCAGTCTATTCATATCTATCTATATCAGTTGGGAGAAAGTGAGAGTTAGAATGAACAAGGAAAATGTAAAGAGGAGGAAAGTCTTGATGGCAAATAAAGTGAAATGATTGGTGAGTAAAATCCTAACAGATAAGTGCAGGACATGTTCCTTTAAACTTTATCTTTTGACCATCTCTTGCTGTGAAAACCAAAGGGAATTAGTATCCTGTTGAGCAATAACCTCAAAACAAGTTCACTATTTTTTAACTGTTTGGAGGCATGGATGGTGGCTGGATTGAGGAATTTCATCTCTGCAAATGGCTTTTAGAAATACTTTATTCATATCTAAGATTTTAGAAGTATTCAATATATGTGCCAAGTTATCTACTATTTGGAGATTTTCACTGCTGATAGGCTGTTATGGATGATGCTATAGGCATATAAATAATATAGGAAAACCAGGTAATATAAACGTGATAGAAAAGGAAACGGAGAGAGTGGGAAAGAGGGGAAAATTAGGAGAGAGAGAGAGAGAGAGCAAAAGCAGGTGGGGGGGGGATATTGAGTAATAGTGAGAATAATTGTAAAAATTTACTGTTACCCCCCTCTTAATAATTAAACACAAGAAATAACGTGTTAAGTACAGAGACAAAAAATTAATGGAATCTGGAAACTGGTACAATGTGACCCGGATATAAGAGAAACCCGGATATAAGAGAGATTTTCTCTGGTCCCAAATTAGAGCCTGTGTTAATGTATATGAAATAGACCAAACCCGGATATAAGAGAAAACCGGATATAAGAGAAACCCGGATATAAGAGACTTCTTCTCCGGTCCCGACAACCCTCTTATATCCGGGTTACACTGTATTTTTTATGTTTAAAAATAAATTATCTTTAAATCTACATAACCAACAATTTATAAATATAATTGGTTTTGGAAACAACCTCAGTCAGTTATGTGCCATACGTGATACATGCTTAGGCGATCATGTATCTTTCGATACATGACTGACGAGGCAGATTTTTCTTTTGTGGTAGGTTGACATTTCTTTCTGTGGTAGACTAGTTGCCATTCAGGGCTATAGAACACAGTCTGTCCTGCCAGAGTTGGAGGAAGAAGAGGAAGAAGAGGATTCATACCTTTCCCAAGGGTATTAGCACCACGTAAGTGAATGTAATGGATTCCACTGGAATTCGAACTCGGCTCTCCAATTCCTCAGAGAGGCATGGTGGAGTAATGGATAGTGGCTTGGATTGAGGAATCAGAGAGCTGAGTTCAAATTCCAGTTGAATCCATTAATTCACTATCTTTTATCTACCTTGGGAAAGGTATAAATCCTTTTCTTCTCCCAATTATGGGTAAATACTTGGGACAGATTGGGTTCTATATTTTGGATGGCAACTGGTTCTCGCAAAAAAAAAAATGGCAACCTACTGCGAGAAAAAAATCTGCCTTGTTAGTCATGTATCAAGAGATGCATGATCACCTAAGCGTCTATTATGCATTTTTCCCGCAGTAGGTTGCCATTTCTTTCTGCGGTAGACTAGTTGCCATCCAATGCTATAGAACCCGGCCTGTCCTGCTATTTACCCATAGCTGGAGGGAGAAGAGGATTCATGCCTTTCCCAAGTGCATTAGCACGTAAGTGAATATTATAAATTCAACTGGAATTTGAGTTCTACTTTCCGTTTCCTCAATCCAAGCCGCTACATGTTCCCCGACTGTATTTATTAAATTCACCTGATAGGTGAATTTAATAAATACTTCTGATTTCTGTTTACTGGGACTATACTGATGATCAGGTAGGTAGGCATCTGGAGCTGGCCTCGTGCTAAGCTCTTTGCTGTTGTCGAACTCTCTGTCCGAGGGCAGAGAGAAACCCGGAGAAGGCTATGCCGAAGAACAAAGTCTCGTCCGGGAAGGTAGACACACCCGACCCCGTTTATGTGGGGTCTACGTGTAATTTTTGGCCGAGCCTGCGGGATTGGATTACCCGACATTAAATTCAGCCTTGTGCCACATCCTACAACGTGTGGAGATCAGTAAATACTACTGGTACTATAAAAGGACCCCATACGCGAACCTTGTATTCTCAGTTGAATAACGCATTCTTAAAGCCTACACCTGCTTACTTTTGTCATTGCACACTGATCCCCGACAAAATGGGGTCAAATATATTATGAATAATCAAGCGTGGTCTCCCCTGGTTTTGTTACTATCCTCTTCGAGAGAGCTATTTCTGTTTACTGAGACTATAAAAGGACACTGTACGCGAAACTTGTATTCTCAGTCGAATAAAGCTTTCTTAAAGCCTACATCTGCGTACTTTTGACATTACAATGAGTATCCATTGAAATAACACTTAAAGTGATAAAAACAAAAAAAAAAGGTTATGGCCGCCAATAATAATAAATTATCAAGAGTGGTCTCCCCTTGTTTTGTTACTATCCTCTTTGAGAGAACTATTTCTGTTTATTGAGACTATAAAAGGACACTATGCGCGAACCTTGTATTCTCAGTTGAATAAAGCTTTCTTAAAGCCTACACTGCGTACTTCTGTCATTACAATGTAAATCTGTTTGTTTAAAATAGAAATCTTTTTGCATCTCACCTAAAACAATAGTTTTGTTTTTATAGTTAGGTCCATTACTCGGTAAAAATCAGAGATTTATTTGACATTGTATTGATATTATAAACAGGACCCCCACTTCTAAATCGATAAGAAATCAATATTTTTAGTTTCTGACAAGTGTCTTGGTCCAAGTAAGGTCCAAAGAACACAATTCTACAAAAGTTTGGTATATTTAAATAGTTTGAGATTTTAAAAACATGACAAAGTCATTCATCAACGGATCTAACCTCCATTATTGATGAAAAATAAAAACAACAAATTTAATAATCAGTTAAAAATCCAATATTTGTCTTTGAGTTATATTTCAAAATAAATTAGTAAATTTCAGGATTGATTAACTGGATTTTGTCTCTATCAAAAGTACTTTTGGCTTAAAATATAGTGCAAACAACATTAATTTATGCACAGTAGCACCTGATCTATCATCAAAATTAGAGGTAAAAAATAGTAGTCTTCTACTGTCACCCCCACTTAATAATTAAACACAAGAATACACATTAAGTACAGAGAACAAAAACTACTGGAATCTGGAAACTGCTATTGTTTATGTTTAAAAATAAATTATCTTTAAACTCACATAACTAACAATTTATGAATATACAGGGTAACCCGGATATAAGAGAGTTGTCAGGACCGGAGAAGAAGTCTCTTATATCCGGGTTTCTCTTATATCCGGGTTTCTCTTATATCCGGGTTTGGTCTATTTTATATACATTAACACAGGCTCTAATTTGGAACCAGAGAAAATCTCTCTTATATCCGGGTTTCTCTTATATCCGGGTCTCTTATATCCGGGTCACACTGTAATTTTGTTTTATCCACGTGGAACTTAAAGCAAAATATGTTCAACTTTTCTTTGAATGTAATTTTTTCGGAGGTTCGTAATTATTTATCTTAAATTAAGGAGCGGAGACCTAATTTTATTAATATAAATGTTTGTTCTTTACATAAAATTAAAAATGTATATCCGTTCGTTCATTATTTGAAATAGAAATCTTTTTGTAACTCACCTAAAAAAAAAGTTTTGTTTTAAAGCTAGGACCATTACTCTGTAAAAGTCAGAGATTGATTGTATTGATATTATAAACTGGACCCCAACTTCTAATTCGATAAGAAATCAATATTTTATAAATAAATAAATCAATGTATTATAAACATATAAAAACATCAAACTCAAAAATCACTTAAAAATCCAATATTTGTCTTTAAGTTATCTTTTGAAAATAAATTAGTAAATTTCAATATTGATTAACAGGATTTTGTCTCTATCAAAAAATACCTTGTGCTTAAAACAGCGCAAAAAAAAAATATTTTTGTACAATAACTATAATCAAGGTTATAGGTAAACAACAATAGTCTTCTAATGTTACCTGCATTTAATAATTCATTTTTGTTTAATCAAAAATAAATATATTGGTTATTTAAAAGAAAATCTTTTTGTAACATCCATACTGAAAAAAAAAAAAAATCAGACGCATAATTTTCATATATCCAGGACCAATAACTCTGTAAATGACAGAGATCGATTTGACATTGTATCGATATTTTGAAAAGGGCCTCATTTCTAAATCGATAACAAATCAATATTTTTTTTCGATTCCGATAAGTGTCGCCGCCTAAAGAATGCTAATTTGTAACAGAAAATATTATGCTTCTAAAATTTATCGCTATTTTTATGAGTGGACCGCTTTATTTAAGTAGTTCCGACGTAAAATGTGTGTGTGTGTGTGTGTGTGTGTGTGGTGCACAATACTATCTGAAACATGAATAAGGAAGCCCAATAAATTCATATGACGCCATTGACTTCACTTCAATGAATGTTCCAAGACTCAAAAGGCACATCAAATGTCTATTGGCCAAAGGCAAATTCAAGAATACAAAGAAAAGTCTTCTGGCGAACTTCGAACCGTACGTCGTACTATAAGGATGTATACAACGCTTCAAGTGCCGTCCGGAACGATTCTGCAGCCGCCATCACATTGAGGCTGCGGCGTAATGCCAAGGCAGGTGCAGTTGACAGGAAAATGCCCGCTAGGTGGTGCTGCTTTCCTCCAGCGATGTTCTTTCTTTAGAAATCCGTTTAGACTTGCATTGCGAGCGCTGCGTGTCGAATTGCAAAGCGCAGTTCATACGGCGTGTGATTCTCTTTTTATCACCGACATGACTTTCAGTCAAATATCAAATAATGCTCTTCGCCCTCTATTAGTGGTATTAATCCTCTTAGGGGTGGGGGAAATGGGCTTCTTCATGGAAATGGTTTATTGTGATTCGCTGAGGATTTTTGCCTGCTGGACCAATGGCAGGAAGTGAGGAAACAGACAGTGGGACAGGCTACAGGAAAATTTACATCCGTGACAAAACCGGAAATATCAGAATGAAATATCACTGATGGCAGGCGACCAGAATCGAAAC